GCTATTTTGGAAACTAAACAGATGACATATAATATTTAAGATACATCTATTCTGGCAGTCAGTTTTAGGTTGTGAATTTTAATCTGCATTTCATTTGTGGATTTTAACTTGTAATTTAACTCTGTGTACCTTGTATGTATTTTAATAGTGTTTTATCTCTTGTTTTAATGATGTTGTATCCTTCCTCGAGCCGCATGGAGAGGGAGGTAATAAATTCATCATCATCAAAATTTTAAATTATAATAAATTATTAATAAAATAGTCATTAGGTATTTCAAGAGGTTATGGGAAAAGTTCTTTTAAATTTATTTGAAAATAACAGGATAAGTGCTTGAGCCTCACACAGTGTTGTGAATTATTTATTCTGTTACAAAACTATAAGAGAACTACCAGTATACACAGATGAGATGATAATAGTCTCCTTTCCCACCTGTATCCTCACCAGCATCTTCCCCCACACCAAAAAAAAATCTGTTCCAGAAACTTGTGTACCATCTGGACCAGTGAGGGAGGTAGTACTGAAGACTGCAGATCAGAAGGGAAAATCAGTGAAAATTGTCCACATCTATGCTACCAGCAGTAATGTTCTGAACAGAACTGGTAAAAACAGTCTGGAGCCTACTATAACTTGCATGTGACTTGAATGAATTAAGCATAGTGAATTAAAAGTCATATATCTGGCTGACAAGAAGTATTATTATCCATGGTCATACCGTTGCCACTGCTCCACTGTCTTCAGACGTTCACTACTGTATTATTCCACTTCCATTGCCTGTATTGAGCATGATCATATATCAATGAGTCTGATCATATACTGATATTTCAACACATTTAGTTTATTCTAACTATGTAGAAGATTGGAACATTCATCTTTTATTGTCCTGTACTGAATCCATCACATTCAGTCTCAAAAAGGCAATGGTGACAGAAGAATTTATACTCATATCCTTTTTCTCTTCCATACTTAGATTAGGAATAAATGAAGCAATGAAGATTAATATAGATTTCAAGGGTAACAGCATGAGAAATCATTCTAAATTTGCTTGCCTGGTAAGGGATTTAAACTTGAAAGTAAATTAACCATGCCAAGTGTAGTGCCAAAGCATACGAGTCAAAGTGTACATTTAGAACAAGGATGAATATAAATTTATGGACTGAGGGGACCATTGTTATATCCTAATCCTATATATTCAGAAATAAGTGGTATTTTTGAAATAAATAATAGCAAAAATCCTAACTGCATAATACATAACTATTAGCAACTCTGAGTTCTTTTCATGACCAGATATTAGCAGTTGAATAGTAGCTAATGTAAAGTACTACAGAATCAGTATTACTGGTATTTCCATCTCATTTGCCATAGCATTGTAACAACTGTTCAAGTAAGCAATTAGTGCCCAAGGAAATTACTACTAAAAACAATCAATTGAACCCCCTACTAGGGCTAGGTGGCAGCACCAAATAGCAACTAGAGTCCTGAAAATGTCAGGATATCAATTTAGTGAACAGCAGGGTATCTACAACTCACTGACACAAAATGGAAAAAACACACACACACACACCCCCCCCCACACACACACACACATACACAAACAAATGAAACTATGATATCTGATGTTTGCCTTTTAGGCAGGATCAATACAACTGTTAATCATTTCCTGGTTGCTTTTTATTTTCTGAAGTGTATTTGATCTTGTTAAATATACTCTGAAGAAAATCCAATTAAAGTGAACAAAAGAATAGCATTAAGACTTGATTTGATAATCTATATGAGACTATTTTCCTGACTTTAGCCGGATTTAAATGTTGCTTACAGAGAAAGCATAATTCCCGCACCCCCCGACTCATATTCGTGGTAAAATGAACAGATAATTTCATATGCATTCATCTGCTTTTTTACAGCCTCCTCAAAGATAATTTCTTAATTATATAAATGGACTCACTTGCTTTGTCTTTATGAGAAAAGTTTCAAATGAATGTGCTTAATGAAACTGGGATACGCACTTACTTGAAAAGTACCTTGTTGTTTGCCACAATGGTATTATGTTGATCATGACAAAATTCTAACTCCCACATTTTTCAGGCGCATAAAATAACCAAGTTTTCCTCTACTGTGTTACTGGCAGAGGAGGGGAAAATCTAGTTACACTTCATATGACACATTTCAAATAGCTATGACACCTTTATTCCTGTCCAAGGAATATATGCCATCTGTTGCCAGTAGAGAAGCATTCGAGCAAGGAAGCCGAAAAACAGCACACAGAACACTACAGGGGAAGAAATAGCAACTCACAAAGGCAGAGCAAACATTAATCACAAAAATTGGATGTTAATCATGTGATAGGCATCAAGATTTACTGCACTTGGTTCCTTTTCCTTAAACAAGACTGCTGAAAATTGAGTGTATAAAAACTAAATTGTGCTTTGAGCCATATATTGTTATTTTCAAGTCACATACATATATAATTAATCTAATCAGCACCTACATGCAGGACTAGTTCAGAGGATCATAGCTTATTAAACTGACATGTGAATGATTCTTTTGCTTAAGTATGCAGTTCTTTTACTTCTTCTTTTGCAGTGGAAGCTTCCCATAACTGAATCAGATAATTATGGCTACTAGCTGCAGAACATAATATTGAATCATTGTCTGAAGGTGGTAAAATGTTCTAGCTTATTCTGACATTACCAATATTAGAACCATATTTTCTCAATTGCAATAAAATAGTAATCTTTCAATAGACCTTATTGATCGTAATACAATAGACTTACATATAAAAGACTTGTCCATATCTTGCTTTATGAATCCAAGGCTTGATAATCCATACTGTGTCACCTAAACATTTTCCCATAATTGGAAAATACAATCCTTCCTGATATCCAAAACATTTCCTTATTATTAGAAACATTTACAGCAGTTAAATTCATTTGGTATGTGAATATATATTTCTATCTATATGGCAGAATAAATAACATCAGTTAATAAAACAATATATTATAATTCTGTAGCTGATTGCATATCTCCCTAATTATGGGTGGGATATAAAATCAAATAAATAGCATTAATTCAATAATCTTGGTATGTTTCTTTTTCTAAGCTTTGCTCCTCTTCTCAAGAATGATGCTCAAACTATTAAACAGCCTTACAAACATATTTTTTAGAATCCAAGTCTAGGAGCCTTTGTCATAGCCAAGTTACATAACACAATTGGTTACATAGCAGAGGCACTAGGGAACCCTTTCAGTGAATTTTGGTGATGCATATCTGATCACCAAGTAGAGTGCCACGAAGTGGACAAAGCAGAAGCTTTACAAATGCAAATTGGGATTCGCTAGCTGATATCTAGATGCGCATCAGGAATGTTTGATAATCATTGAGCCCCCTGGGGTATTGGTCCCTTTTCTATTAGGTCTCAAAACACATCAGCTCCATTGTGCATTGGTTCCAGTTTCCATCATTTCCTGTTGTCCATTGGTCCCCATATTCAACAGTCACTTTGCTGCCTCCCCTCTACATGGTAACTAACAGCAGCCCCTTGCTGAATATGGACATTGCAAAGCTGCCTGATTCAATTTCCTGTAGACATGAGTCCCACTTATGAAGATGCAAGTCCCAAAAAACCTCTGACCAATATTGATAAAAACAATAATTTAAACTAAATGACTAATAAAATAAATGCACGTATTGTCCTTCTGACTCACTGTCAGAAAATACCCATTGTTCACTGTTAGGCTAGGGGTTATGTGGAAACCTCTGTGCTTGTAGGCTTTGAACCTTGGAATCCTAAATTGAAACTATATACCAGCACATTAATTAACAGAACTAAATCTGGAACCATGTGTTAGCAAACAGTATTAATTATGGAGCTGCCATAAATCTTTCCACTTCAAGTGCCTCTCCTTCTCTGATCATTCTCTTATTCCTGAAGCATGCAATCTTTGCACTTGGTGACACAAAATTCAGCTTGTCATTCTTCCTCAGTATGATCACATCATCTAGATGACTTCTTTGCTTGTTTTTGTCAGCTAGCTGGCCTGCCAAAAGATCTACATTTGACAGATGCATGCATAATCAAAACTATGTTATGCATTGATTCCTGCCTGATGTCCTTCATGACACTTATCCAAAAAGGACATTTCTGCCAATGCTTACAAAGATTTCAAAGCAAACCAAACAAATGATGGCACCAATTTCCCCACACCCAGCTCTGCCAAGATATGGGATAGCTGGAAAAATTGTCTATAGGTGGAATGCTATAGAATGTCATTTCAATTTCAATGGCTGCTGCTTTTGGTATAGGGTAGGGAGATTTTTCAATCTGTGGCCCAAATGGACTGTGTCACTGGTTTTCCATCTCTATCTATGTTATAGTGACCTGACCATTAGGGTCGGTGCCAGATAGCATGTAACTTCAGAAGAAGAGCAAATTAACTATTGGATAATACCCTGAAGCATCAGCTTTGATGAAGGAATACTTTCTCAAAGCTGTTCTTTGAAGTCCAGAGATTTTCCTGATTTATTCACATAAAATTCTCCCCAGAATACTAATGTGAGGCCTATGACTGATCTTGCATAGGTAAATCACCTACACATTATCCTGAGCTATGTAAGTTTCCAAAACAACAACAACAACAACAACAACAACAACAACAACAACAACTACACAGCTCCTCTAGTTTATTTTGAAACAGCAACTGCATTGAAGAGTAAGAGTTACTTTATTCATGTTACTTATTATATCACACTTTTCTAGCAATATGAGACCCAAAGCAGACCCTCACTTATGTTAGTTTTTGTTGCCCATTGCCTATCTCTTACAGTAATTCTCAAATTACATCATACTGTAAACCAGTATGTTAGCCACAAGGCAGGTTGTATGTCTTGGCAGAACCTATAATAACACATGGTGGAAAACCAATTGGCTACTGTGCTTAAATATAATTGATATTTGGTAGTCACACAATTTTTTTCCTTATTTCATTCTCACAAGCAATAAAAATACTTTCAAAAGTTCTTTCCTGTTTATTGAAATTACAAATTTCTGTGCAATTTTAAGTAAATGTTTTTCTAATTAAACTTTGGAGGAGGTATTTAGTTATTTTCATCAAAATCCTCACAATCTGTTTTTATACAACCGATATTTTTTCCACAGTAAATCATCTAGTGCAAAAATGTTTCTTTTGCAGAAAACATCATTTTTGAATACAAAATCTATTTTTTTTATTTTGTAAAAATGAGCCAAATTGAAAGCTGCAACAACTGAGGGCCCTTCCACACAGCCATATAACTCAGAATATTTCACAATATCTGCTTTGAATTGAGTTAGCTGAATCCACACTTCCATATATCCCAGTTCAAAGCAGAAAAATGTGGGATTTTATTCAGCTGTGTGGAAGGGGCCTCTGGGGAATGCTTTGTTGTGTCTTTTCTTTTAAAAAAATCTGTGAATATGTTTACATTCTTAATATAGGGGCTTCATAGAAATTTGCAAAAGAAAACAAAACATATTCTAGCTCACTGTGCAGATAAAATATAGATATCTTCTAATATAGCAGTAATTAAATGGTACGACATGAGTTATCAAGAAAAAGGATGAATCTCTCACCAACATATACATATTTTGCCTTGTGTCTGCTTTAACTGAACAGCATGTAGCATAGAAGAAATCATCTAATATGATCCTGCTCAAAGTATGTAGCAACTGTCCTAATGATGCAAAGGCTCAGAGAGATTTTCTTAGGCACTTCTAGGTTCAGGAATTCAGTCATAAGTCTCAATTCTGCCTAAGTCAAACTACTGTGCACAGTGTGTGAAATAAGCCCTAGTTCTTGTAACATGTTCTTGTATGTCTTTGGGTTTTATCTGCCAGTACCTGACCGTGGACTGTTTTTGACCTTGCAGGATTTGTCTAGTTGTTGTTTGAATTTGACTGGTTTTGGATTCTGGATTGCTCTCTGACTCTGGCTCATTCTTGTCTGGTTTAACACTGGTAGGACTGTTTGACCTTTGCTTTATCTTTTGTTATTACTTTAGGTTTTCGCCTTCTTTGTAGGCCTAATAGCCGTACAGAGCCAAATACTCTAAACTGTAAACTGTCTTAACTGTGCTTCCAGAGTTCACTCACCTTCGCATTGCCTGGAACAGGACTAACATACATGCCTAATGCGAAATATATATGAGAGGAATCTTTTCCCGTGCAAACCCACAGACAACTGTGTAATTGGATTGGTAATACAATGAGATTTCCTTGGCACAGGATAATGAAATGGCACATTTCTAAAACATAGATAAGAAAAAATAACCAAAGTAAAAAATTATTCAGGAGAAATATGAAATCATAAATAACAAACCACAAAAATGCTTCTGCAGCAAATGACATGGTTTCTATGTATTTAAAACATGCACAGCATCAAGTACTAAACTATTTTGCATTTATTTAACTGTAGAGCTATAGAAATATTTAGAAAAATAATACAACAAACCACACAGACCTGCCAGGATCTTATCAACATATAGAATACACTGTTTAGGAGGAAATGCAAAACTATTTTCTATTATAAACTACATTTTTCACACTACACTTACTTGGTTTGACTTTTAAGTTGTGTGTTTCAAAATCTCCTATATTTGTGTGGTATTTTTTTTTAAAAAAATCCAAGCAAAGCTTTTTTATTATTTTTTAAGTATATGTTTTAGAAGAAAGTGGCATAATGACTTTCACCTGTAGCATTTATTCTTGGCTCTAAAAACATTTTTTTTTGGCAGAAAACTGAATATACTCAACTGCAATAATTAAATGAGGCATCTTTCTTACATGCAGAAGGAAACTTTTGTGAAGTTGTTTGAAGTTTAGAGAGAACAGTACTTGTCTAAATCCCAGCTGATTCCAGCTATGGTATTAGTGCCACTGCTATAAGATACTCAAACAAGGTAATGATTTCCAATTCAAGTTACTCAGATTTTCTACAAAGATCAGAAGCATAGGTCTTAGCCATTCCAGCTTAAGCCTATTTTTCACTAGAGATAAAGTTGCTTTATCTATGTGACAGAGGATGAAGTAAAATAATCACAAGCAAAGGTTTCAGTTCATGGGATTTTACATGGCATTAGTTGAGTTTCAGTAGGTGAACAGGGCAAGACTTTTTTCCCTTCAAGGCTTCAATATTAAAAGGGAAATAGATTATCCAGTCCTACATACACATAGAAAAAACACACAGTTTAAAGTAGTAGGATTTTTCTGTGAAAGACAATTAAAGACAAAGTGGAAAAGTGGAAAAGAAACAAGTTAATTTCCTCCTTGCGATGAGTTGCACAAAAATCTTTGTCTGCTTCTGAAGATTAGGTTCTTAAACTGAGAATCAAATCAAAATTGGACTTTCAGAAATTATATCCTTAAAGGCAAACCAGACTTTCTCCTGAAGTAAACAGGCCATTTGCATATTCATGTTTAGAGAATAATGGAATATCATGGAAGTGGAGAAGTGGTCAAGAATACATGACATCAGGCTGGTGTTATTACTGGTGACACATTAATGGTTGTACCCTGTGCTTTACCAGGTGCCATTACTGATACACTAGGAAAGGAATCTGGAGCAGTTTTGATACAACTACATCATATTCAGGCAATGCAGTTCTACTATTGTAGTCAATAGGGAGTTTAATCCTGTCAATTAATTCATAGATCCAAGATGGGATTGACTCAGTAGGATTGACTCAGAAATACATAGTATTGGTGTATACAAAAGGATCAATAGAACTAAGGATTTCTAGTAGGGTAGTGTTGAATCATCCCACTCCAGCTGATCTTGCCTGGTTACATTCCGTTTACTTTCTTTATTTCCAGTGGCTTCTTCCTCTTCCTCTTCCTCCTCACTCTCATCTGACTCTGCACTAGTTGTGTCTTCTTCATCATCTTCTAATTCCTCTTCCTCCTCCTCACTTTCTTCTTCCACATTGCGAGGTTCTTCATGTTTCTAGAATATGCAGAAACACACAAAAAGATCTTTAGAAACCCTTAAAATTTACCACTAAAAGCTAAACAAAAAGTAAGGATGTTTCGAGAAAATCTAGTACTGTGATTTTAAAAGACAAGGCAGATACTAATTGATTTGCTTGCATTAATTCTTTCTTCAAATATTGCAACATAAAGCCATAATGTAAGAATAGCAATAAACCAACAGCACCAATCTCCAAGAGGAAAAAGAGAAAAGCTGAAGGATGACAGTGGCCAACAAAAGATAAGAGAGGTGCAACTCAATAATAATAATGTGCTTTCTTCTTTACAGGATCCATTTAAATTATCATTAATAAGACTCTGGAACTCATTGCCCGGAGATATTAGGAAAGCCCCTACGTTAGAAACCTTTAAAAAGAGTCTCAAGACCTGGCTCTGCCGTTGCACTTTCGGAGAGTAGTCACATTATTTTATGCTATATTGCTCCCTCAACGTTCTTGTCCCAGGATTTACCTCCTCCCCCCGCCCCTTGTACGAAGGTTTGTTTATTTCTCTGTCTCTCTATGAGTTCTTCCTTACAAACAGTTCTGCCCCTTTATCTCACCCTGAGTTTTTAAATCATTTTATGTACATGTGGCCAGCTCTCTGTCATTATGTTTGGTTTCTATGTTTTGTTTATATTGTTTATATGCTTTGATGTTTTATACTTTATTGTTATGTTGTTTATTTTACTGCAATTTGTATTTTTGTACTGTGATTTGTTGTTCGGGCTTGGCCCCATGTAAGCCACTTTGAGTCCCTGTTGGGGGAGATGGTGGTGGGGTATAAATAAAGATTATTATTATTATAATTATTATAAATCAATCAAACTAAATGTCATCCATCAATATTTAATTGAGAGAAAATGTATTATTTTATAGTGAAAATCACAATTGCTATCATTATTGTCATAACATTCTAGCTTGTAATATAAAAATGTATTAGTATACAAAGTATAAGATGCTCTTCCAGACTTATTTTTTTAAAAAACCCAGATATTATAAGATTAGGGTATTTTAATTTTTTCTTTTGCTCAATCTAAGAAATATTTTCCTTTGACAGTGAAAGAAAGATAACAGATGTATTGTGAAACCTTCCTTTGTACAACAACTCTAACAGTTGGTTGTTCAAGATATACAACTTCTCTTTCCAGCCACTATGCCTTAAGTCAGAGGAAATGGGAAGGATTAATACCATTGAGGGGAAATTATACATGAGCCTAAAGTACAGTAGATTTTTATGGTCTGCTTTGTATGTGCCCATCAAAGAAAACACAGATAGAAAGATCTGAGCAGGCTGCCGATGGATTTTTGGAAAGAAGTAAAATCTATCTTAACATGAAAAAAAATACCAAGTTTCAAGTTAACATCCTTTCAATCATCACTACTACTATAATTCAATATCAATAAAGAGGGACACCCTATACCTAACAAAAGTAATCAAATAGTTTATTTTATTTTAATGTATTTTTGATACTTCTTCTAATATCAATTTTACTGGTGAGAGCAATTTTAATCTAATTCTTATGCAATTCAGTATATGGAAAACCATTGTAAATGGCAATATTCCAAGCCATTCTTGGAATAGGATATCAGTATAAGTGCCATCTCAAACATTGATGTCCCTGTGTTCCATAGAAGGTATAAAAAGACTCCCATACAACTTTTTTCCTGTGCATATTGAGTTTTGTATGGGATGGAGGTGGAACAGGGAACAGATATATGTCAACTTGGGCCTATCTGTCACTGAGAGCTCCTCTCTCCAGCTTTCCAAATCTTTTTTCTGTCATTTTTCTTTTATTATTATTATTATTATTTTTATTGTTTCAACATTACAATATCCTGCTCACATTTAGTTTCTGTTGGTGTTCATACTTATACACACTCCATTTCCATGTAACATGACTGCACCTTCTCTTTTTATACAACCTTCTCTTAAAAAGGGGGTGGGGATGTGGGAAGGAAAGATAGTTTGGAATAAACCAGAGGTCATCTATCTTTCTTTTCCAGCTTTCCAAATCTTACTGTTCTGGCCAATGAAGGAGCAGAAAAGTCACTACACATATTTTAATCATACTGGAACTTAGCTGTTGTTTAGCTTAATTTTCCAACTCCTCCCACTTCATTTTGTTTCATTGTCAAATCAACTGTCTATAAGCTGTCCTTGGAGCTTTCCTCTAAAGGATAGGACATAAATATTTCAAATCAATAAAAATGTAATACATTGTTTTAAACATATAAGTACTTCATGAGAACTGGAGCCATGATTATTCAAAGTTTCCAACTGCATAGAATGCATATTTATGCACACCTGTACTCATAGAACACTATGTCCAACCATTCCAAGTTCAGGAATTAACTTTCACTTGTTTCTCGTTCATTGAATGAATACTGGAGAGGAACTTCTTATATAAATCACCACTGAAAATGCCACATCAAACACAAGTAAAAGCAATTATACTCTGCAACTTACTTCCATGGGATTGACAGTGATGGTCAGAGCTGAATCATCCCAATCCATTTCATTTTCTTTATTGCTTTCGTTTTCTTTTGTGCCATGATGGAAAGCTGTTCGAATTCTATATACCCCCAGAACTATGATAAAGACTAAGATACTGACACAGGTTACTATGACAATAGTAGCCACACTTGGAAGTGCTGGAAATAAATAAAAACAAAGTAATATAATATATCCTTTGTATGTTCTTGATACACATGCTGATGTTCATTCATGTTTTTCAAGCTGCCAAAGATAAACTATCTATGATTCTATACTCATTACAGCAATGTCGACAGTACAGTGGGCACTTGGTATCTGCAGGAGTTTGGTTCCAGGGATCCATATGGATATCAATATCCATAGACACTCAAATCTCTTTATATACAATGAGTAAAGAAATTGTGTTCTTTGTATAAAATGCAAAGTCAAACTTTGTTTTTGGTCTTTTAGAAATGTATATTTTGAAGCCATGGGTGGTTGAATATGTGGTTGCAGAATGTGTGGATAAGGAAGGTTGATTGTATGTAACTTAAACAATAGTTTTTAATCTTTAGTGCATGCATTGTCTTATTGCAACTATTTCTGTTTTTGTAATCCATGCCAGTAAGAACAAAAATAAAAACAATTGACAACACTATTCCCAACATTTCCTCGAAGTATTTCGTTCCATAAGGTGAGTGGGTGAAAACCAATGCACTTCTACGTGTATATGAAGGTACATATTGAATCTTTCTTTTTAGAAAAGGACTTCCTCCCAGCACAGTTCTTCTCTCCTCAATGATATTTTGAAGCTGTGCACAAGCAAGCCTGCCACACATTCTAACATCATGAGTTGGTCCATGTCAAATTTACTCATACGTAACATCTGCATTAATGGCTTAACCATTGAGATAGAGGGAGTCTGCAGAAACACAGCTGTACAGTCCCATCAGACATACATACTGCACGCATAGATGACAACAGAGTGGAGCAAGTTGTCATGCAATGGTGGCCAGCTGCTTCAATGCCTTAAGGCACCTCTGCACTGTAGAATGAATGCAGTTAGGCCACCACTTCAATTGCCATTGCTCAATGGTATGGAACCATGGGTATCATAGTTTTACAAAGTCTTTGGCCTTCTCTGCCAAAGACTGCTGGTGCTTCACCAAACTCCCAGGATTCGACAGCACTGGCAATTAAAATGGTATAAAACTGCATTCATTCTGCAGTGTAGGTGCACTCGTAGGCTCATAGAATCATAAAATTACACAGTCAGAAGAGATCAAAAGGGTCATCCAGTCCAACCTCCTGCATTGCAATAATACATAACCATGTCACTCCTGACGAATGGCCATCCAATCTCTGCAAATAAAACCCTCCAAGAAGATTTCACTGCACTCCAAAACTGCTTATTCCACTTTTGAACAGCTCTTATCATCAGGAAGTTGTTCTTAATGGTAGAATCTCTTTTCCTATAGCTGCTGAAGAATCCTAGCCTCTGTAGCAGCAGAAAACAAGCTTGCTCCTTACTCAATATCTCATCCTTTCTAATATTTAAATGTAGATATCTTATGTCACCTCTTAACCTTCTCTTCTTCGGCATAAACATGCCCAGCTCCATAAGGCACTCCTCATAGGACTTGCCTGCCAGACCTTTTACCAGTTTGTTTGTTGTTCTGCCACATTCAAGCTTGTCAATATTTTTATTGTCAATGGGAAAGTTTCTGCAGGATTTACTTAAAGGTTGAAAAGAGCTCTTCAAAGGCCTGAACATATTTTAAGGGATAAAACTCAACACCTTAATTGGCTCCACTAAATTCCAAACTAAAATCCAAAGCACATCCATTGTCCTATTTACATTGGACCCACAACCTACTACTGCTGCCATGGAAAATAGCAAATTTGAGGCTAGTCAGTGCTATACATCTCCATGTTCACCTGTAGAGAGACTCCTGTTATACCCACTTTTAAGAGTAATTAAAATGAGTAATAAGAAATTGGTCCGTTAATCACTATTACTTATCATAGTATAGATGTATAGCATAATGAAATAGATCTCCACAAGTCAATGCACTGAAACTCCCACAATCCTTTACCTTTAAGCAAATCTTTGCCTAATCTTTGCTCTGCTATGCTCAGATAACATTTGGAGAGCTACACACTTTGATGTCAGTGTAGCATGTATCCCCAGTAGATTTTGGACAGAGTTAATGTAGCTGTCCAAGGTGCTGTGCTAAGGATAGATATGAGGACATTGAATAGCTTCTATAAAGTAGGGATAAAGCATGGAATGCATTTACTGTCCCAATGTCATCGGAGCCACCAGCCTCTACAAGAAAATACAGGAAACAAAAATCTTGGCATCCTGGAAGTGAAAATCCAATGACATTTGATTGGCAGCTTCCAGAAACAGAATAATGTCAAAAAATGGATTTTGGTTTGATCCAGCAAAACAATGTTTATGTTTTTAATACATGTAATACCTGAGCCATTAATACTGTTTATGCTTTCTTCTGGGTGATGGATAGACTGGATAAACTGTGGCTGTATTATCATATGATTTACATATTCCATTATATTAGTGTTGGAATTGTGAAGGATGTTAACCTTGAAGAAGAAAAAAGAAGAGAGCAATATTACAGATTATTAAACATTCTAAAGAAATCTGCATTTGAAATCATACTAGAAAAGTTCAAATCACACAGATATTTCACTTTTTCTGGGTATAGAGAATTGGTTCAGGGCTTGATATAGAATTGCATTTTAAAGATTCTTAACCGCTTTATCCCCAAATATATATTTTGGGAAGGAAAATGACTACTGAAAAGAACATTTTCTGAGAAATCATACAATACTTACTATGCATTTACAAGCAGAATGTAGTTATATGGTAATTAAAATAATATTATTCTTTCTTATGTCTGTGAAATGCTACTGTGAGGGCTTCATTAAATTTATTACATTGTTGCTTTGTCCAGATAAAAGAATGGAATGGGCTGATTGCTAAAGGGAATTTGTAATTTTAGTTGTATCTCCTATTATTTCCCCATCCCTTCCATCTGCTGGCTCTCATTCAACCCCAGATTCACTCCTGTTCTGGATATTGCTTCTGAAAAGGGCTGTTACAGTCAGCAGCTGTTGCTCTTAAAGTGAGAGTGGCAAATGAAGTGACAGAGAGATGTTAAGGACAATATTGGGTGGAGAGGTTTCGTATCCACAGGAGATATTCTAAAAGGGGTTTGGATTGTTAACAGGTGTGAAAAAAGCCAATGTTACAGTGGTATGTTGTTGTTGTTTTTGTTTAAATTACCTAATGTGAAAATGGGTGAAATTTTGTTTGAATTTTTTTAAATACCTTTCCAAACTTTGAGAATTTTTCTATACACTTGATAGAAATCATCCAAAATTGCCAAATTTGCAGGAGAATAAACAATACTAAACTTTATTTTTATCCCACCACCATTTCCCAAAGGGGATTCAGGTGGCTTACAATGCACTCCAAGTGCAGCATAAGAAAAGGTACATGACTATAAAACATTATCACATAAACACTATAAAACAGCCACTATCAGCACATATAAAAATGCAGACCATTTGTAGTTAAAACTAGCTGCCATCAATTCACATCTAAAGGTCCAGAGTGTCAACCTCATATGGGCCCATTTTAATCTAAGTGAGGCCAAAACCCTGCTTAACAACCCATGTATTTAGGCTAGATCAGAAGGATTCAAGGGTGAGGACTAACCTAATCTCTTTTGGGAGGCGATTCCAGAACTGGGGAACCACCACAGAGAAGGCACTCTCTCTCGTCTCCACCAACCGCACTTGAGACGGTGGTGGAACTGAAAGAAGGGCCTCCCCTGCTGATCTCAAAGCCTGCACCGGTTCTTAGAAAGAGATACGGTCTCGAAGATAGGTTGGACCTGAAGTGTATAGGGCTTTGTAGGTAACAACCTGCAACTTGAATTGAGCTCGCAAACTTGTTGGAAGACAGTGCAGCTGTTTTAGTTGTGGCATAATATGTTCAATATAGCTAGCCTTTGCACTGGTAGCTGACCTTTGCACTAACTGCAGTTTCCGAACCACCTTCAAAGGCAGCCCCACATAGAGTGCATTACAGTGGTCTATTCTGCATGTAACTAAGGCATGGATCACCATGGTCAAGTCAGGCTTTTCAAGGTAAGATTGCAGCTGGTGCACAAGTTTTAACTGAGCAAAGCTCTCCCAGCCACCACCAATACCTGAAAGCAGATCCAGCCATCCAGATAGAATTTTTGTGTGTCTATTCTTTAAACATCTGACTTTGAATCACTGTGTATTCAATCATATTTTGTAATACTGGATTATGTGGATTATGGTTTCTACCTTTTGTAGTTGGGTCATCATTTTCATGTCAGTTAAAACATATTCCTTTCTATACTAGGATTAGTAGTATCTACTGAATTCGGGCAGTGCATGTAGCTGGAAATTTTGTTCTTTTAAAAAAACATATATATTTGCCAAATGCAGATTTCTAAATAAACTCAATATGTGGACATTGAGCAAAAATGTTCAAACTTTCCATAAAAAACGACATTGTTTCAAATCTGAAGGAGATGCTAAAACAATTACCACAACTTTTAAAAGTAGAGAACAGTAAAGTTTGCAGCTTGATCAAATTGTCCCAGGATTCATAGAAGTATTTTGGTCCAAAGACAATCCCAACTTTATCAGAGATTAGTTCTCACACACCCTAGTTTACCTGTAGATTCATGGTCTGAGAACTAAACAGACATTAAAGAAGATGATGCCTTCCTTAGGCTAAATTACAATAGTATTTTAGGTAAGCAATTTTCATGGCTTATTTCTTGCTTAATGCAAAAACTGATAATCTAAAGCAGTGTTACTCAGGGCCCTTCCACACAGCCCTATATCCCAGAATATCAAGGCAGAAAATCCCATAGTATTTGCTTTGAACTGGGTTATCTGAGTCCACACTCAGATAATGTGGGATTTTCTGTCTTGGTATTCTGGGATATAGGGCTGTGTGGAAGGTCCCTCAAAGTGGTTGTTCCTGGACTAATCCCAGTCCCGGAGTCATTGACTCCTGGTTTCTAGCAAATTCCAGGAAAGAAGGACACAATGTATATAAATATGGTACTGATCCCAGAGCACTAGAAATATATAATTATCACTCCCCCATATAAGATAGTCTGTAAAAGAATTATCTAAAACATAAATTTTATCGGATAGTCTCAAACAGAACAGACTCACTGAATTAATTTTTCTATGGTAAACACTCATTTAAAATCCCATTGGTTCAATGGGTCTGCTCTAGTTAAGACTAACAGTGGAGTTTTGGTCAAAGTTCCAATCAAACTTTTGGGGTTTTAGAGTTAGATACAATATAAACATCAAAAAGAAATTTATAAAAGTACCACATGGATCTGTTCTGTGCTTTTGATCACAGTATATTTCTAATATTTTAGTCGATTCACTAATACCCTAGCCTACATTCTGGATTCAAGGGCAATAAAGATTAAATTGTATGGAAGGTGATCAGGTTCATGGCTAATAGTTGGCACATCACAGGAAGCTTTTCACATGCTGTGTTTTCTTATGCAGCAGAAAACCCTTGCTGCTCACAATGCAGTGAAGGCTCACTTCTATCAGCATGACATTCAATTTATAGGAAAAACATAACCTTGTAACCACTGCTGGAATAGAGCAAAATGTTCAAAACAGACCTGTATGCAAGAATAAAAGGACAGAAGGAATCTGCTTTACAAGGCTTGATGGCTTATGACTTTATAGACATCTGCAACATTTCATAAAGGTACCACTGAAAGAGCATCCATGCTCCACCTCATTAGCTTAAGACACAATTCACACTGTGTTTCTTGCACAGAGTTATATACTTGACATATATAAGAAGCAACTCCTGGAGAGAGCAGGAAAAATATTCCCTAACCCAAAGCTTGTTCTCTTTCTCTTTTGGTACAAATACAACCAGTAAAACTAGGTCTGTTTAAACCTTTTGTTCAAAAGCTCAATATGCTTTTGTAGTAACTGTGGACATGTCACTTTATGCAAATCCAAACCAGAGTTACATTAGAGAGATTTACACAAAGTGGAGAAGGAATAAATTAGAAAAGTATTTCAGTTTATTGGCAGCGTAAGTGGATCTTATTGTGGCTGGTGGCTCCAAGGTAAATGGGGCAGTTGATTTTGTTCAGCTTTTAAGGAGGTATACAATGTAATGAACATATTTTTTATTCAGCACATTGGATATGTCCTTTGAAATTTGAACTACAACCCAGAGTGGATTTACCTCTTCACTGATATGGGGATTGCCAGTTTGAAGCTGCAGGCTATAATTTTAGAAATCATTATTCAACTAACCTATATGGCACTAATACCAAGTACTGGGAATCCCTGTAACTTGAGCATTGTAACTGGAGGTTGGCTGTTACCAATAGTGCTATGGATTTTGAAGAGGCATAAAGAGAGGGTGAAAGGAAGAAACATGCAAAGAGGAAGGCACACCAAGTAAACTCTGGTTGTGACCATCTTCCTTCTGGAAATCTATTTCTCAATGTTAAAGACCATGTGGATCCAAAATAGGTTATCACAGTCATTTATGGATCCACTGTCAAGACTACTTCTGGAAGACACCATGATGGTGGAACTATCATAAAATATATTTATGATTGCAAGCATTAACTCTCCCCCCCCCATATATATATATATATATAACATTTAAGACCACATGAAAGAACTGAATTGTCAGCAAGGCTTAGATATATAACTTACCTCTAAATTAAATTCATTGCTGGTATAGCGCCCATTGAGCTCTGAACATTTGATTCTAAATTTCCTATCAAAGAAGGAAGATGTGTGCCAGTTACGATAGCGAACTTGTTGCAAGACCTGTTCATAGTTTTTCATTGTGTCCACACCTAAGGAAGTGACACAGCATCAGTGAAACTATACAGTGGAAAAACCACCCTCATGCAATAAAAATTGTCATGAACTTGTGGTAAATAAAATAAGTCTAATATGGTGGATCAAGCCGTGATATTAAAATATGATATTAAAACCTTATAGTTCAGACTACAGCAAGCAAAGACACATATGTTTGAAAACTGTAATAGAAATAGACATATCACAGTGGCATTACTTCAGTAAGGATGATGATTTCACATGAAGCTGAACCGTTTGCTTACTCATGGTTGCACAATGACACACCTCTTTTTTATATATCATACCAATAAAATAAATAACTATATATATATATATATATATATATAKAKAKAKAGAGAGAGAGAGAGAGAGAGRGAGGGAGAGAGGGAGAGAGGGAGAGAAAGATGTAATATAATAGAAAAAGACACAGGAAAATGTCAATTCACTTTCTACACTTCCAAGCCTGCCATAATAATGGCAACTATTTTTAAAAGCAAAAGAGTATATGCCCTTCAACAAGCAGATAACAGAAATATGTTGAGTATCTTTAGGGATATTTTTGCTTATAAGAACAAAAAATATATCCAATCACAATATTATATGGTTTTGCAATAAATTCTCGTCTCATTTAAAATACACACAGCCCACATAAAATACATTTTAGAAATTGACATGTTTGCTGTTAATAATGATGATGATGATGATGATGATGATGATGTCTGCTGTGAACTCATCTTGTTGTGTTTCAAATAAAATAATAATAATAATAATAATAATAATAATAATAATAATACATCACACAGTCCTAGATGCTTGGGAAGTGTTCGACTTGTGATTTTGTGATTAGAAATCCAGCATATAGATCTCATTTGCTGTGACATACTGTGTTTTTGTGTCAGTAAAATAATAATAATACTTTATTTATAGGGCAGTTGGCAAACATATGGCMWACACATATGGCAAACATTCAATGCTTACAAAGAATATATATAAACAAATTACTTCAAAACAAAATACATCAAACAATATACAAACAACCTAACTGCAAAACTTAATACCAAATACATTAATCAAAAATACAACTTAAATCAACCATAACCAACATTATCATATAGTATAAATTAACAGGATAAAATATTTAAAACATTTAAAAAAGCTAAGACCTTGTTAAAAGGTGGGACCATTCCAACAGCTAACAGACTGAAATCAATTCCAGTCTCTGGGTAGGATTTAACATATCTAGATGATGATAAATATCAAGACATATTCGTCTTCCTCTTCTCCATATGCTAAAGTGCATAACTGTGTTTTTAGCAACTTTTTAAAGGCGAAGAGAGAGGGGCAGTTTTTATGTCTTTTGGGAGGGAGTTCCAGAGGCAGGGAGCAATCATGGAAAAGGCCCCCTGTCTTATTGCCCCCAGTCATGCTTGAGATGAGGGTGGGACTGAGAGCAGGGCCTCCTCCTCAGATAGCAATGCTCGAGCTGGTTTGTATACAGAGATGCGGTTTTTCAGATAGTTTGGGCCTGAATGATTTAGGGCTTTATAGGTAATAACAAGCACTTTGTATTTAGCCCAGAAGCAGATTGGCAGCCAGTGGAGCTGCTGCAACATGGGAGTCATCCTCTCAAGCTAAGGTTAGTAACCTGGCTGCCAAGCTCTGAACCAGTTGTAGCTTCTGAACTATCTTCTAGGCAGCCCCATGTAGAGAATGTTGCAGTAGTCCAAAAAGGAAGTAACCAAGGAGTGGACTACTATGACCAGATCCGGCGTCCCAAGGTAAGGGAGCAGCTGGCACACTGTACAAAGTTTTAACTGTACAAAGGTAGTCCTGGCTACCACTGACACCTGGGATTCCTGGGTCAGCGATGAATCCAGGATCACCCTCAGACTGCGAACCTGTACCTTCAGGGAGAGTTTGACCCCATCCAAATACAGGCTGTAACCCCACACCCTGATCCACCTTCTGACTGACCAGTAGCACCTCTGTTTTGTCTGGATTTACCACCAACTAATTAGCCCGAATCCAGTCCATCGCTGATGACAGGCACCAGTTTAGGAGCAGGGTGGCATCCTTGACTTTTGGTGGAAAGGAGTAATAGAGTTGGGTATCGTAACCATAATTTTGACACCAAACTCCACTAAGACAATCGATGCCATCTCTGTCCCATGGCCAGGCCTGAAATCAGATTGAGATGGATCCAGATAATCTGTTTAATCCAAGAAACTTTTGAGTTGTGAGGCCATCACTTTTTCTAGAACCTTGCCCAGGAAAGGGAGGTTTGAAATTGGCCAATAATTAGTTGAGTGGGATCCAGTGTTAGTTTCTTTAACAAAGTTCTTACTATTGCCTCCATGAAATTAATTGGCATTATGCCCTGGGTCAGGGAGGCATTAGCCACCACCTTCACCCACTCTGCTAGTCCCCCCCCCCTGGCAAATTTAATGAACCAGGATAGCAAGGGTTTAGAGAACAGGCGGTCACTCTCATTCCTCCAAGCAGAAAGTAATATTTATGAAGAGTTTCTGAAGCTTACTCATGCAATTTCTTTTTTCTTCTTCTAACGGGTACCATTTTTTCTTTACACATGAAGATGTAGCTCCAAAAGTAAGAATATACATAGTGACAAATACAGAAATAAATAGATAGTTTTATTTTTAAATAATCAAAAACTGATCATACCATATATTGAATATCCCGCTGTGGAGTTTGTAGCATCTAAGTGTTTGCCTTGAAGTTCCTTCCGATCCAATTCTAAACATTCTTGCTTAGTGTTTAGTTCTTCCCCAATTACCAAAATGTCACAAAAATCCAGGTTATGGTGCATCTCTTCTAACAGAACTGGTTTATGGACTGAGGATAGAATAGAGACAGAGTTGAAACTATTCACTAAGCCTTTTCTTGAAGGTAGTGATGAGTAATTTCAGCCATCTTCTCATTGTGAGAAAGTCTTTGAAAATTACAGGTTTTGGGGGGCCATTTACAATTTGGGACTTATTCAGTTCAAAATTCATAATTGGTCACTTTGTACAGAAAACAGCATTTTCAGCACAAAAATAGTATTTTCTGCATGTTAACTTTTTTTTTGATGCAGAAATATTCATTCCGGCACAAAATCCTGCATTCTGTGAAGAAAATGGTATTTTATGTGCAAATCAACAATGTTTGAATTTTGTACAGAATAGATCCCCATTTATAGCATTTTCTATGTTGAAAATATTTCAATGCAGAAAAAATTGTTCTGCAATACCATTTGTACATTTTGCTTCTTTGACTTTAAGAACTGGATCAGTAATAAATGGTGGGAACTTTTGAAATTGTCGAAGGCTTTCATGGCCAGAATTGCTGGGTTGTTGTAGGTTTTTTCGGGCTATGTAGTCATGTTCTAGAGGCATTCTCTCCTGACGTTTCACCTGCATCTATGGCAGGCATCCTCAGAGGTAGTGAGGATGCTTGCCATAGATGCAGGCAAAACGTCAGAAGAGAATGCCTCTAGAACCTGGCCATATAGCCCGAAAAAACCTACAACAACCCACTCTTGAAATTCTTCTTAGAATAATAGGATAACTGAAACAGAGAAAGAGACCCCAAGGGCTATCCAGTCCAAAAACCTGCCATGCAGGAATATACTATCAAAGCAGTCCTGTAGATGGCCATCTTGTCTCTGCTTAAAAACCTCTAGGGAGACTACTACACTGAGGCAGCATATTCTGCTAATGAACAGCTCTTACCATCCAGAAGTCTTCCTAATGATCCCTCTTTTCCTGCAGCTTGATTGCTTCATGTCCTAGTCTCCAGAGCAGCAGAAAACAAGCTTGCCCCATTCTCAATATGATATCCTTTCAAATATTGACACATGGCTATCATGTCAGCTCTCAGCCTTCTCTTCTCCAAACTAAACATACGCAGTTCCCTAAGTTTGGCTTGGCTTCCAGACCTTTGAATTTTTTTTCCAGCCTTCTCTGGATATGTTCCAGCCACTCAATATCCTTTTTGAATGGTGTTGCCTAGAACTAGACATAGGATTCCAGGTGAAATTTGACCAGTGCAAAATTGAGTGGTACTATTCCTTCCCTCGATCTGGACAATATACTCCTATAGGTGCAGTCTAGAATTGCATTGGGTAGAATCACATATTTAGGATGTCATGAGTTCCGAGCCAATAAATATGAGGGTCTACAATGTCTACAATGTTGCTGGTATCCCAAGGTTGTCTCCTGAAGACCATAATCTTTAAGACATTAACTCTTCATGAAATGATCAATCAGGCTGCTCAATCATTGTTCTATTTCCCCTTGCATTACACTTGCTGTCTATTAAAAAGATCAAAACAGCAATGTGGTACTGAAAAGGAGAGAATAGAAGAAACAATATTCCCCAGGCTAATTTTAATGTACATCTGTTAAAAATCCAACCAGGCTTCTAAAACATTATTAGCTAATCTAACATGGCAAAACGCTTTGCAGAGTTTTGGGTTCAGTATAACAAAACAATGTTTCTGAAACTAAGTGGAAAGCTATTATTTAGGGCCTAAAAGGACACAGAACCTAATAACTCTTTGGAGTAAGATAATGGAATTTCTGTTTGAAACCTGAGATTCACACCTATGCTCCTAGAGTCAGCTCTGGGGGTGCATTTTTACTAGGTTTCTTCCTCAAGGTAGCAATATGTAATTTCAGTAATTTACATCCTGCTGGGCGAAAGTCATCAGAAAACAATAATCTTCATTTTTGAAGACTATATGCTGTTCAGGACTTATTCTGCACAAAATCTGCATCTGGTTGTTTTGTGTGGAAAAAGCAACATTTCCAGTGCATAAATATCAATTTCTGTGTCAAAATGCTGTCTTCTGTGTAGAAATTGCTATTTCTATGCAAATGAACCATGTACAAATTTTACACATAACAAATTCTGAATTACATCTTTTTTTCCCTTAGGGTGAAACAGTATTTTCTACATAGGAAATATTCCAATTTCTGCACTAGAATATAATTTTCCACACAGAAATGCCTCATCTTTCATTTAAAAAAAATGAAAAACACATCAACCACATGGACATTTTGCATATAGTAAGGCCCTGAACTGGGAAGATTCTCATCAATACTGGATTTTTCTCATCAAGGTTTCTTGACATCCAAAAATCATATATTTTTGTACTATTTTTTAAAATATTATTTCCATCCCTAGGCCTGAATCTGAAGAGCCAATTTTCAGTGGTGGCCAGGGATGCATGTTAAACTGCCAGTTATTTAAGATGCCATACCTGCCTACTATGTGCTATCCATGGAAACTATACAGTTTGCTATCTTTAGAAGCTATTCCAAAAATTCAGTAATTACAAAATTTTGTGGCCAGATTGCTCATTGGGGCTAGTTACTGGAAAATTTAACTCCCTTGTTGAAATATCTTTTTCCAGGCACAATTCATGACCTGGATAATAGTAAATGTCTTTTGTCTAGACCAGTGGTTCCCAACCTTTGGTCCTCCAGGTATTTTGGACATCAGCTCCCAGAAATCTTAGCCACTTTACCAACTGTCAGGAATTGTGGGAGCTCATGTTCAAAACACCTGGAGGACCAAAGGTTGGGAACCACTGGTCTAGAATATTTGAAAGACTGTATCTAACTATATGAGACTACTCAAGTTCAAGATGTTCTAGGACACGTTACCAACACATATGCACTTAGCATGAAAATACAAGATAACTTTCTCAGTGCTTGGTTCCAAACTATGGAATTCCCCTCCATGGAAGATGTTGTTGGTCTCTTCTTTTTCCACTACCAAGCAACAGCCCTTTATATAGACAGTCTTCTACGATTAACTGGATGTGAAGAAAGTTTTTAATGAAGTATGTTACACCTTTATTTTCATTCAATTTTAAACATGTTTTGAAATTAAGTTTAATAGGACTGTCTATTAAATGGTCTTTAAACAATAAATGTTACCTTAGGCCCCATATTGAGGAAGAGGCAGGATATGCATTAAATACATAAATGCTTTCGGTTGATCTATGAAGCTCTAATGTCAACCCCTCATTTGAGGTCTATATAATACTACCATATCTCGAGTCAATTTAACTGGATCTATTTGGTGTGAGAGGGGTTTCTCCCAGCAGGGCATAATTCATTTTTTACTTTTACCTGGCATGTAGTCTCTACTGTCATAGAGATCATATTCTTAAAAGAAAACTACATACCTCTCTCCATAGTTTCCTTTAAGTCAGGAGGATGTTCCATTTTAGTGACTGTGCTGACAATTCTGATATCTGGTAAAAGAGTCACACCCTTTTCATGTTCAAACTCTGAAGCTGGTCTTGCAAAATGATCCATTCCACTTATTGTAATCTTGGGCTCCTTGGCCTGAAACACCATTACATAGGCATCTATATCTGGGATACTAATGCAGACATCTTCACCAAAACATCTGAAAAATATATTATTCATTAACTTCATGGAAGACGTTTTAGTGTACATTCTTCCTTTGCAAGAGGAATACTACCTAAAGACATGCTGTATCCTGTGGATGTGTTCTAGAGTATATTTTTGGTGGTTCAGGCTTACTTGTTGACCAGCTACGGAATGATTCAGACCCATGTGAACATTAGAAGCACAATTTTCATATTATTATGAATGGTAAAGCATATCATTGGCCGGCACGATCCTTAAAAAAGGTCAATGCACACATAACACTGAATCTCTTAAATAACATATAACAAACTGCCAATGCTTAAACTTGATTAGATGGTTTCTAATTGTTATGCATTTTACATTAGGTACTCAAATTGAGGCTTAATAGGTTTGATATAGCTATCTTGTTAAACGAGCATCAAGAACCTAATCATCCATTTTATACTGAATGCATCATGAGGCCATTTCACACACATCCAGAACTCTATCTAAAGTCAAAAGGCATGGAGGAATTAGGAAATAACTCTATATTTCAACTCTATAGTTGAAATTATTTAATTGTAAAAGTAAATGTAATTGTTATGCTATTGCCCCATTCATTAAAGGTCAAATTTTATTGATAATGTTTTATTTGCATGGGTTTATTACATCCCCCAAAATATAAGGTTCTTGATATGAAAGTTTATGGCATATTGCTGGTTTAATAAAGCTTAATGAATTTAACTTACTGGACTCTTGATGAGACTTTAAGACGCCGAATGCCTGAGGTTGGAAACTGTCTTGAGTTGATATAGGAGACCTTTCGGAGAGCTTGATTTATATTCTCAATGTCATCTCCTTCTATAACAAGTACTGATTGGGAAGGATTGAAATGGTACTGGTAAGATGGGAGAGGAAACAATATCATTAGTATTTAGGGGAAACCATGTAGAATAACTCATTAGAACATTTAGAAAAGCAGGTTTCTAAATATTGATTCTTAGAGATTTGTTAGATCTCTAACGAAGTAAAGAAAATATATAATTATAACCTTTGTTCTATACATAAAAGCCAATTAGAAATAAGCAGACCATGTAAAAAAAGATCTTGAAGTCTTAGTAAACAACAAGTTGAACATGATCCAAAAATGTGATGCAGCAACTAAAAAGTCAATGGGACTGCATGCCTATTGTTATTGTTATGGCTATTTTAAAATCAAATTGTCTTTTTTTAAGCTGTTCTGTAAACCACTCCGAGCCAAACTGGATGTAGCGGTATACAAGTAAAATAAATAAATAAATAAATAAATAAATAAATAAATAAATAGGAGTGCCAAGGGAAGTCATGGTGCCTCTCTATTCTACTTTGGTCAGACCTCGCCTGGAATACTGTGTCCAGTTCTGGGCACAACAAATCAAGAATGATATTGACAAACTGGAACGTGTCCAGGACGACTGAAATGATCAAAGGTCTGGAAACTATGCCCTATGTGGAGTGGCTTAAAGAGCTGAGCATGTTTAACATGCAGAAGAAAAGGTTGATAGCCATGTTTCTTCTCAAGAGGGAGAAGGCTTGTTTTCTGATACCCTAGAGACTAGGACTTGGAGCAATAGCTTCAAATTACAGAAAAAGGAGTTTCCACCAGAACATTAGGAATAACTTCCTGGCCTTGAGAGCTTTTCAAGAATGGAGCTCACTACCTCAGAATGTAATGGAGGCTCCTTCTTTGGAGACTTTAAACAGAGGCTAGATGGCCATCTGTCAGGAGTATTTTGATTGTACTTTTCCGGCATGGCAGAGGGTTGGACTAGATAAGCCATGAAGTCTCTTCCAACTCTATGATACTATGATTCTTGGTACTCTGCAGTAAGTCTACCACATACTTTTATAATAATTATGGTAGCTATATTTAACTGGAAAATAAACTGAATGTCAGTGGAACAACTATAAATCATGATTGTTTCTTTAATATGACACCATTAGTTTTTGCCATCACAATGAAACTTATCTGCACACGATCTTTACAGTATTAGCAAAAATATCCTGGCGGTTTTAAAATATGTTATTTGTATGCTTGTTATAAATAGAGGTACATTTTGCAGTCTACTATAATATCATCATCGACGATCACTCAGGTCCAAGTATGATTGTCTTCCAAGTATCGAATCTTGGTGGTGAGTCCGCAGGTGACTGTAGAGACCTATTCTTGATCCGTATATTCTTCCACAGTGCGGACATTAGTTTCCAGATGGAAAGCGGTCCCAGTCAGGGTTGGCTGGACAAGTCTTTTGACATTATTCATTATTTTGTGTAAGAATAAATGAAGTCATTTACTTTCTAGATACGACCTAGGAGTTGTTTGTTTGATGTCACTCTTTAAACAAATTTCCTGCCTTCTATTTTTACATTGTGTCTTTCCCTCCTATTTTTATTTTAAAATATATTAGTTTTTTAAATCTATGTTAGATTTCTTTATAGCCTTTCAGCAACCATCAAACTGTTGCTGAAAACTTCACTGTCTAATCAATTCTACATTCTGTACATATGGGGATGTGGTCTGGAGTTCAAATAAGCTTATGCCATTTAAAATTTCTGGAGGTGCCACATGTCTCTGCTTTTTGTTTTATTAAACATATTCACCTGTTAAAACTTTTCACAGTTTGGACTGAATATTAACCAGACATGTAGGCAATCTAGGCATCGGGGTGAAGGGGTGTTTACATGCAGATCAATGTAAAGTCTACACACCTTAGTCCTATTTGTGTGAGGGCAAACACCCATACATTGCTAAAGAAAAGAAAAGAATGGGTTAGTAGAGTTCTAAAATTGTGGAATGGACTATACAGCCTCTGGATTGTATGAATATAGGAAAGTGTCATATATTGTGATTCCCTTATGTGCAAAGCAACTTATTGATCACAGAAAAATGTACACACACAGCAATCTATCTAGACAATAAGGAAGTTTTTTTGGGGGGATATTAAAATTGTATTACCCACATAGACTCTTAAGGATTGCTGCACATTCTATTATCTATGGATTCTATTACTTCATTATGCTGAACACGTAAGTCAGAATATATGATTCAGGTAAGGAAAAGAGGTACAAGCTTGTCAAACTGGTCCTCCTTATAATAACAACAATTAGGAAATGTAGTCTATTGAGTTGAATTAGAAATTGGGTCTCATTTCCACTAGCCAAGTAATCTGTAGCCAGTCCAGAGCAGCCCTCCAGAACTCAGAAGGGAGAGATGTGTGGGCAGGTGAGCATTCACCCAACTACATGCTTGCTGATGGGAGCTATCAGGCCTCCCTCAGCTGCCAAGGTACCCTCCATAGCTCAGAGGGAAGAGGCAATTGGGTGTGTGTTTCCCCCTCACATAATGCTCACTTCTGTGAACTACAGGTGCAACTAATATGCAAGAAAATTGCAAAATACCAGAACTGGGACCCTAAAAGGGGGGCTGCGACTATTATGCAATGCCAACTATAATGTTAGAAAATACTGATAGTTCAAGGTTATGTTAATCAGCCTTGGTTTGCATTAATCCTAATAATCTCTATGTGTTGTGCATCCACCAGAGGACTTATTCACACACACCCCTCATGGGATAATGGGTCAGTGTAGATGTGCCCTCAATTGACATTTATAAGGTCAAGAGTTAATCTTTCTGAAGGCATGAAAGTGACCTTGAAGCGTCCTATGGATGAATAGATTTCTGAAAATTTAGAGAAGAAGACATGTGATGTTAGAAGGTAATCCCCTGTTGAATGGAACAGAAGACTTGAAAAGATTATTCAAGAGGGATGATGATCCCTGCTATATCAGAGAGGCTCCATGTTACTGCAAGATATTGCTTTAGATATATCAGAATGGACCATGGAAAATAAACTGTTTTTTTTCTTTACTGTCTTCTGCTGAAGGGCATGGATAACAAAACTAAACGTGGGATAATAAGATTACACATTACTACACGACTTCACCAATGATGCGATTATGAAAGACATGTCTTCTTTCACAAAGAGGAAATCTTGCAAAAAATAAACCAAATCTCTTAGCAGTCCAGCAAACCTGCCTTTTCACTGTCTCCATTAGCATCTCACCATTTTCTCCACAGTGGCCCTATCATTTTCTTGTTCTTCCTTCATTATTTTTATTGTTTTTATTGTTTTTAACCTCTCTAGCAAGCATGAGTTTGATCTACACTTTAGTTTATTTTACATTCTCTCTACACATGCGGGCAATTTGTTTGAATTTCTCTTCTGCAATTTCACCTTTTTCCATTTCTTGTACATTCCTTTCTAAATCTTAGTTCAGCTGAAAGTTCTCTAGTCATCTATCCTGGTTTCTTTAGACGCCTCCCAATTGTGCCTTCAATATCTCACTTTTAAAAAAATTCTTACCTCTTCAGAATGCCTGACTAAGGAATCTGATCCAGTATCTTTCAAACTTTCAATCCAAGTGTCAAATACACATTCTAGACCAGTGGTTCTCAACCTGTGGGTCCCTGGGTGGTTTGGCCTACAATTTCCAGAAATCCTAGTCAGTTTACCAGCTGTTAGGAATTCTGGGAATTGGAGGCCAAAACATCTGGGGACTCACAGATCTATCTGACACTGGTCTATCTGACACTGGGATTTCCCAATCTGTTGTATAACACACTCTAGGAGAATATGGTCACTCTTGCCTGAAGATTCTCCTACTTTCATGTCATTAACTAAGTCATCACTCTTGGTTAGGATCAGATCTAAAATAGCTGGGCCCCCTGTTGCTTCACTTTTGGACAATGAAAAGGAATCGATAATTTCTTAGACCTTATATTATTTGTGGAGTTTGACTTCAAAAAATATCAAAACAGTGGAAATTTTCTACTAGTAGTATATGTGTGTATGTATTCTGAATAGTTGATTACCTTTTCCAGCAAGGTTTCATCTGATTTCAGACTGGCTTGGATATCTATAGTAGACTTCCACAATGATAGCAGCAGATTTCAGGGATGCCTATTATATCACATTTGTTTTACTGGTTTCTACTATTTGCTCAGTTTTTTCTATAACACTTCTGTTATTATCATCAGCACTTGAACTCTTGCCTTCAAGGTTATTGTCTCCCTACCCCACGTTGTTTAAATATTCCTTACCAAGCCTCTTTATGTTAATACCAAGAAATGTTCAAAAGCAGATCATTAAAGAGTCAGTCTGTACTTAATTGGAAAGGAATTGTATGAGGACTAAGTTGGGGGGGGGGGGGTTGATTGTGCAGTGGAGAGTCACCAGGTTAGTCAAAGATTTGAAGCCCAAGTCTTCTGAGGAATATCTTCAGGAACTGGATATTTTTACCTTGGAAAAGGGACTAAAACATAACACAATAACCATCTTTAAATATCTGAAGGGCTGTCTTGTAGATCAGTGGTTCTCAACTGGTGGGTCCCCAGATGTTTTGGCCTTCAACTCCCAGAAACCCTAACAGCCGGTAAACTGGCTAGAATTTCTGGGAGTTGTAGGCCAAAACATCTGGGGACCCACAGGTTGAGAACCACTGTTGTAGATGATGGAGCAAGCTTGTTTCTGCTGCTCCAGACATTAGAAAACAAACCAGTGGATTCCAGCTAAACATTAGGAATGCCACTTTGTTGTAAAAACTGTTTGATAGCAGAATAGACTGCCTTAATCTGTGCTGGACTCTTCTTTAAAATATTTAAAAATGGTTGGATGGGCCTTTTTGAGGAGTGAATTAGATGTATATTCCTGAATGGGATCCTTGGGGTCCCTTCTATCTCAATGATTATGTGCCTCTATGATTTGTATACTCTTTTAGGTCAACTCTCTGCAGGTTTTTTTTAAAAAAACGGAAGAGAAATACAGAAGTAGTTTAAAAAGTATTTTTATGCTCTTGCAATTGAGTTGACAAAAATTACAACAGAATATTTGTTGAATAAGTGCTACTTTAAGGCAAGCAATCTGAATATCTGATGGCCAAGCCTGTTCATTCAATTTTATCTTTTCATTGAAAAAAGTCACTATGTACCCATGGCCACTATGGGTTTTTTTTATGCACAAGTACAATTTATGTACAAATGCTTTTGAAAGCCAGGCACGATCTGTCATTGCAAATGCCTTGTTCAATTCTAAGGCCAACTGTGGTTCTTTTATCAGGACATGTCACTGTTATGCCAACTAGGGAACACTGCATGAGAACCTTCACTGACAGTTTTTTTTCATTTCTGCCTCCTGCTGTCACACTGACTCTCAAAATAACTAAAAAGGTAAAAATGAAAGAAGAAAGTTGCACCATGCCAGCTTGCAGATCGGAGATTGAAAGTGTTCTGAAGCTGAAAAATTAAATTCTTGGATTCATTTCCCCACCCACAGCTAGTTCCCTGAGACAGCCGCTCCTCCATACTAGATCAGCTGCTGGAGGCAAAATTGAAGACAAGAAATTTTGGCATTCTTCAAGAAGGCTTCAAAGAATTGTCAGCTTCAAACAAAGCAGTAGTCGCGTAGAAGCTGTGTTTCTATCGATCATGAGTTCAGCAAGAGCTAAGCAAGGGCAGAAGGATTTAAATAAATAACATATGTACTTTTGCATATTTTCTCAGTCAGGTTTCTTTATGGAGTGAAATAAATTAGGCTGAAGAAATTGACATTAGCTATTATATCTCTTTTATGTATGGTCTTTGGTACTACTTCACTTGGAGAGAAACAACTCTCAGAAACTATTAAGTGTGTGCAGTGTTATAATGTAAAGCAACTATCAAAAATATTTCTAATAGCTATCCTATGCAAAATTCTGTTATACTGGGAATTATTAATTTGCAAGTATAAGTTCAGTTCTAAGTATAATCATCTATACATCATACAATTGCAATAACCATAGGACGATGGCATTAATTTTCCAAGCAAACAAAGTAATGCTCAAAATTCTACAATAGAAACGTTTACCATGTATGGAGCAAGTAATGCCAGGAAGGGAAGAAACACTTGGGGTCATATTTGCAAACAGATATTGGATAATAGAGCATACCAAATAATTTCAGAAGAAAAACTATGGATCACTCCCAAAGAAAGGGGCATGCCACACCTTCTGATTGTCCTGTTGTGTAAATTGTGCTCAAGACAAGAGACTACTGTTAGAACAAAAGAGGAAAAATGGAATGGTTTCTAATTGGAAAGGGGGTCATAGGGAGTTTGTCTTCCTCAAAAGATGAAGAAGACTTACAGCAGCCAAGTCCTCTTTCAGTTCAGCAGGAAACTAGAGGAGAGACCCCCAAGTCCTCATGAATGAAGATAAAACTAAGCATTTGACACAGGCTCCATCTACACTGCCATATAATTCCAGTTTCTGAATGCAGATTATCAGTTTCAAACTGGATTATATGGCAGTGTTGACTTATCTGCATTCAGAAACTGGATTATACGGTCAGTGTAGATGGGACCACAGACCCTCAGATGCTGTAAAAGGCAATTCACCCATAATTTTGGGGCATGCTGCCTAAATACTCTCCAGCATAGAGGCATAGGCAGAGTTTGTGTGTGTGCGCGCACGTGTCAGGAGTGATTTGAGAAACTGCAAGTCACTTCTGGTGTGAGAGAATTGGCCAGGGTACCGTGGCCAGAGGACACCCGGATGTTTTGATGTCTTACCATCCATGTGGGAGGCTTTTCTCATGTCCCTACATGGGGAGCCAAAGCTGACAGAGGGAGCTCATCTGTGCTCTCCCTGGATTTGAACCTGCAACCTGTTGGTCTTCAGTCCTGCCGGAACAAGAGTTTAACCCATTGAACCACTGGGGACTCCATAGGCTGAGTTGAATCCCATCAAAAACAGGCCAGCATCTCCCTGGCTGGGACTGCTGTTCTAATGTGCAGGAGCTAAACACAAATGATATCTAGAATTGGCAGAATGTATTCAAACGGTTTTAAAAGGCAGGAAGAATGATGTTGCAACAAAAACAATTAAGAACCTTGTAGTATTTTAAGGAGTAGAATGTTTATGATAATTTCTTAGTCTTCATGATATCTAAGGATATGGATTGTTGTGCGCCTTCAAATTCTTTCTGAGTTTTGAATCTAATCCTAGTGAGATTCTATACTTCATAAATCGGTTTTATGTGTTATCAGAGATGATGTCAGTTCATCTCTCACCTTTATTCCTTGGCCAAGACTCTCCAGGGAGTTAATATCCAGACCTTCTTTGCAGGCCTGCAAACAGGATATCACTTTCTGGCTCTCAATTTTTCCTGGACGGATGGTAAGGCTGGCAAGACTGCCATGGAAATACTGAGCAAACCTGGGCTTAGTGACTTCACCTCCTATTAGAAAAAAAGAAACATATGTTAAAATAGATAATATGCAGATTTAATTATGATTACCACTATTGTCTTTAATGCTTGGAACTATTGGTAATCTATCCGCTATTTTTGTTACATAAGCAGAAACCGAGGCAGAGTTACAGGCACTAGCTATTACACTTAAGAATTTCCTTTATTCTTAAAACTTTATTGTTCACATTATTATAATCTCTCTTATAAAGGCTTATAAATTAGTTGTGAATATATGTTTCATACTACTAATACAACTTGTTATCATTGTATTATTTTTCAAGTTTACTCATTTGCACACCCTTAAGCATTTACTTACAAGAAATACACCCACTTGTAATGCACTGAATCAGGCAGGATGGAATCAAAAGTCATTATTAGGAATAATATGGAACGAGAAAGAAAGCAATCAAAATACAGCAAATAAAGAGCAATTCTCATATTATGATATCAAGGTGTTTTATCTTTAAGAGGAACTGAACTTTAATAGACAGACTGTGATTACATATACAGAAACATGTACATGTTTATTATCTATATGCATGGTATTTTATAAAAGAGCTTTTTTTAAATAAGCAGCCCTGTTATTATTTTTTTTGCAAGAAAACCAATAACGCATCTTGTGGAACTTTGAAGATGAACACATTTTATTTGGTTATTCATTCATTTGTTATTTTGTATTTCCCAGCCTGGGAGACAATGGCCAAGAGCCTATATCACACTTACACTGTGTGAATCTATATTCACATAGTTATACAGTGATTGTGCTACACTTCTCTTTTTCTGAATCTTGATGCTGTACAACAAATTGTATATCTGCTAAAGTATTTACTTATCATCCCGGTCTGTACTAGGGCTCTTTCCATAAAATGGAACACTGAAGGATATAGGACTGCAGGAATACAGCCGGATGTAGGGGTTGCATTCAGAAATAGAAAGAGGAAGTTATCTGATAATGACCTTTGCCTATGAAACCACACTACAGAAGCCTGCACATCATTGATTTGCCTAATTATTAATGCAGTTCTAGCCCTAACTGAAACCATCACTATTGACCTGACCCAATTATTTTGAAGAGGTTGGATAGTGGTGATGGTGGTAATGACAACAATAAGCCTCTGCCCCAAATTATCAGAAAAACATGAAATGAAGTTCCTGTATTGTGCCATGAGCCATTAGGCACAAATCACTTAGAAATGTCTCCTCTCCCAACACCAAGTTCATTAGAGAAACAAGGCTGTACATTATTTATTCATCTAATTAAATGAGCAAATGTTGAATAAAAAAGTGCATGGGCAAGAAGGCAAAACCAATTACCTGCTTGCTACTCCTGAGCATTCTCCATCATAACAAAATAAATCCTGATCTATTCTCTGATATATTGTTCTTCAGCTCTTATGACTGCCTTGGTTCTATCTTTTGTTTCTCAAACATCATCCTGTCCCCAAGCTCCTTTCATATTTTTACTAGTAATTTCTTGCTAGCTCTTCATTTCTGTGATCTTGAGATGCATTCTGGTACAATGATGTTTACCACCACCACCCCTTTGTTGTGGTGAGGGGGCTTGTGTGTTCCAATGAACCTGTGGGTGTAATCATCAGAGTCATGTACTCCCAGGAGAGGCTGCAAGGAAGAATCCAAACCAAGAACAATCTGAAGACCTACACAGTAAATCAGGTGGAGGACAAGGTGGTACATGTTACAATGGCTGTGAAGGTGGGAGGAGATGAGAAGCCACCATCATCGTGTTAACCATGCCACTGGAGGGTACCCTCATTCTGCGAAGACTGTGTGTTGATCAGCTGTGCACTGACCTCCACACATTAAAAAAAATCACACACAGGCATCTTCCAAGAAAAATAAAATCAACAAAAGCCCCATGGTGATCAGTGAGTGGTGATGGGAGCAGGACTGTGAAATCTGGAAGCCCCTAGTCACAGACTGGCACATGGGTGGTGGATATGGATTTAGTTGTTCCACTTCAAGATCCAAGGCGGTTGAGTAGTCCAGAAACTGTATCCACAACTGAGAAGCCCTTTTTAGAAATCACTCTGCTCACCCCACACAGGGAGGGGGCTAGAAAAGGTGCCTTAATATAGTCTGTGTCTCTCATGCCTGACTGGACAGCTGTGTCCAGAGGTGTCACCATCTTGCAGCCAAAAAAAGAAAGATGAACTTTGGAACATGGAACATATGGACATTGTTAGACAACACAGACAGCAAATGCCCTGAACACAGGACTGCTATTATTGCAAGGGAGCAGAGATGCTTTAACATTGACATAAACGCAGTTCAGGAGGCCTGGAGAGCAGGAGAGGGACAACTGAAGGAAGAAAAATGAGGCTATACATTCTGAAAGGGATTGTCTGAAGAAGAATGTAGAGTACACAGAGTGTATTGAACTGTAAAAGATAAAATGTAATCAACAGAATGTGTTACATGAGGAAAAAATAATAATATGTTGTTGTGTATATGTAATTGTGACAATGGGTTGTTGTAGGTTTTTTTGGGCTATATGTCCATGTTCTAGAGGCATTCTCTCCTGACATTTCAGGAGAGAATGCCTCTAGAACATGGACATATAGCCCAAAAAAGCTTACAGCAACCCAGTGATTCCGGCCATGAAAGCCTTCGACAATAAATTGTGACAATGTTACAAACTACTTCCATCTAATCAATGAAAAAGAGAAAGGCATGTTAAGTCAACCCTGACTGGGACTACCTTCCATCTGGAAACCAATGTCCTCACTGCAAAAGAACATGCAGATCAAGAATAGCCCTCTACAGTCACCTACGTACCCACAGGTGAGACCCTACTCTTGGAAGGCAATCATAGTCAGACACGAGAGATAGTCAATGATGGTGATGACTCTTTTTTTCCCTTTGGCCTCTGGTGTTTAACTTCAGTCCTCATTTTTATATCCCAGTTTGGGATCCATCTCACTGAAGACTACAGCTATGGCTGACAAACACAGTGTGATGTGGAGAAAGGAGGAATATTCAATAATCAGCATAAATAATAGATGGGAAAATGCCTGTGCCTACTATAATTATGCCCAGACTATCAAATTATATTTGTTTGAACTACAAAACCAGTTTTTTACAGGAAATGTCAGGCCCTTGCTACATTGCCATATAAAAAACAAATTATCTGCTTTGAACTGGATTATATGGCAGTGTAGACTCTTATAATTCACTTCAAAGCAGATAATTTGGATTATCTACTTTAATAATCTGGATTATATGGCAGTGTAGAAGGGGCCTCAGTTACATCAAAAAGAGTCCTTGCAAAAATGTAAGGACTTTCATTCTTAGGAAGTCTATAGAATATATCAAAGATAAATATTATTGTTGTTGCTGTCATCATCATCATCATCATCCCACTTTTCTCAATTATTCTGTTGCACAAGTCTGAATACCATAATCTGGACAATGTGCTGGTATTTCACACATTAATCAGTGTTCTCTACAGCAATGAATCAATTTTTATTCTACCCTTCTATTTTATTTCCATGACATTCCATTATTAAAGTTTTTGGTTTAAATAAAGGGAAATCCTTTCACATTTTTAGCATTTAATGTAAGTTAACCTTGCTGAGTTCTTCCTCTGAAACATCTCACCACTGTCCAAAATATCATTTGTCCCAAGCAGAATTAGATCTATCCCACCACTTCTTCTTACATAGGTACTGACTTACAATTTTGTATTTGATTAAATATATTTATATGAGGTGGATTAGATGAAACTATTGCCCTGGATACATTCATTTCATTTTTTTTCACCCCAAAAAACCCTATAGCTGTCTGGCTCTTCTTGTTCAGCTTAACTAGTGGAAGCAAGGCAGATGGATAAGTTCATAACCTTCTGTTTTTCCCCAGGTATTGATTAAATTGGCTAGAGGTGGGTTATCAAAGGCACTTTATTCTTTGGTTTGTGCAATGAAATCCTACTTTATCCCCTGGACCCCCTTCCTGATACTTTACACTGCTCTATCTCCTAGTGTTTTAAAATTTTAATCTTTGAATTTGGCCCTGCCCACTGTGATCATTTTTAGTGTATTAATGTTTTGATTTTATATTGTTGTGTTGCCTATTTACATTGGTTTTGTATTTTATGTTATTTTATTTTCTGATTTTCTGTTGTGTTTTTGCATTATATTGTGTTTTCTGTATTGATGGGTGTGGCCTCATGTAAGCCACCCCGAGTCCCCTTGGGGGGATGGTGGCAGGGTTTAAATAAAGTTTTTATTATTATTATTATTATTATTATTATTATTATTATTATTATTATTATTATTATTATACAAAAGAATGGTTAATATATTCCACTAACTGCGCAGTAAAATCATTTTGAAAGATAAAAAACTCCAAGATTCAGATAAGATATGTTGTCTCTTGGATGGAAAACAGGTACTGTTTCATATCTACTAACATCTGCATGTGTCCCACATTCTAGTAGATGTAGATTCTCGTACAACCACTGTATTTGTCATAGGTTAATGTAATTATATATATATCTGTCTGCAGTACATTTCACCAAAAAAATGATTACATAGGATAAATTGGCTCATAAACTATTGCTTCTTAGTATTCTTGTGTTTTGCACATGGAACACAAAATATATTAATATTGTAATTTAAATCAATCATGTACCTCATTATAGATGCCTTGACCTCTTGTACTCTTTTCCAATTAGAGAGAAATATAAAAATCTGACTGTGATGAGTAAATTTCAATTAAACTGTACTGCAAATGGGACATGTGGCTCCAACCTGTTTTGAGCATAATCTATTTCCTTCCATACCATAGTCTCAATGGTAGTCACTTGTTTAGTGGTCTTCAGTGACTAAGAATTTGAACAAACATGAACTGACCCAGTATCTACTGCCATACTGGAATTCAGGGGGAAAGTTCTTTATGGATTACAACTCCTAGACAGCCCAGCTGGCATGGCCAATCCAAAAAGTAACTTTTCCTAGTTCTGATTACAC